CGCATGTAAGGGACAAAAAGAGATTGAGCGAGCTGGCATCCTCGCTCCTTATATCTACATTTTATTATCCAAACATCTGCTATTTTCGACTAAATTTCACGTGCAAATAAATCTTTCCGCTTCGATTATTTGAATAATTCTGTGAGAATCCAATCATCTTGGACTTTGAACTCAATAGGCTTCTATCTTAATAGTTGTCAAAGGGTTTCTCTCCGGATATTGTTCAATGATCAAAAGTTAGGCTAATGTAAGAATAACAGACCAGTTACCACATAGTGATCATGTTGCCTTATGCTCTGAAGTCGTTCTTTTCACGAGCTTTAAACTAGAACACTGAATTTATCTTTAAAAGCCTTCTCTGTATCTCATTAACTATAGAGATCAAATGCCAATTAAGGTAAAATGCTAAGAGCTCAATAGCACTTGAAATGGAGACACATTATATTCTGGAATGCAAAACGCAATGGTGGCTGGGCCGCTTATGTTCCAAAGAGCTGCGCACAATTCCCGCGACTCTTATCTCGTTTTAAGGCTGCTAGATCGTTTGTGAAAAATGGAATCATAACAGCCCTTCTTCGAAACATTGGGTAACTTTTTAAGCAAATAGATGTTTTCGCAATTTGTTCGTATGAACGCTCCACGTTAACTGCATTGTTAACATGATCTTGTTAGTGTTGAGTTGTAGGGAGGGTTCCCCGCTTAGTCTTCTATTTATGTCTATCTCAGTATTGTTTATTCTTTGTGGAGAGTCACAAATTGAACCCATGGGAAGCTTATTCACTAGTGTACTTAGACCAACAATTTTTTAACAAAGCGCTAGCCCTGTTCTACAAACTCTGAAAACAGTAATGTAAGCAATGCGATAAATGTGTACTACCTTGCTTCCCTCATTTTTTTCTTAGAAAAGGTGAAGGTTTTTTTTTCGCAAGCCGTCAAGAAGACAATAAAAATAATCTGGAAGATTACGATTGTGAGCAATGCCATCATTTTATTGTTTAGTGAGCGCTAAATATCGTTGGGATCAAAGCAAAATATAACTTTTTTCGGGCTCTAAAAAATCGAAATAGTATTTACAACCTCATAATTGACTCTTTTCGTGTCGCAGAAATGTGGAGAGGTATGTGTTTAGTCCCCAGATAAAAACTCAAGAACATGCA